TGTTTACTTATTCAATGCCATTTATACTTGAACATTTGGATTTGATTACATAGTGTAGTAGTTATTTTAGTCATTTGTTTAAAGTGGCTATTTATTTATTTTAAATACATATTTTTTAAGGTTGACTTGTACAGTGCTCAAGTCAAGTGTGGACTGGAGTTTTAGATTTTCATTTTGATAATGAAGAAAACAAGTATATGAGAAAACAAGTGGTGTTTCTTTGATTTGTTTACATATTGTTTATGTTTTGAATGTTTGGATTTGTATTATTTAAACCCGCACTGACTACTGTAACATGTTCCAGAAAAAGAAGCTATTTGTTCCTTTACTTGTGAAAAGTTGCACTTTTGCTAAGGCTTTGTGTTATTTTAGGTTTAATAAACAATATTAAACCTTTTCAAAACTATTTCAGTTTGTGTAGAACAGGACTATCAATGCTTTCTGAACATATGCAACACCGTTTAAAAAATACCGCGATAATACCGAAAACCGTGATAATTTTGGTCACAATAACCGTGAGGTTAAATTTTCATACCGTGACAACCCTAGCTCCACCTGAGAGTAAATGTGTAAGGCTTGTCTCCAGCATTCACACATCAATTCTGTTTCCTTCACAGCCAGACAGGACAAGAGGGGGGAAAAAAAGAACTTAATTATGAGCCCAAGAAGGGACTTCACAGTTCACATGAACAACAATGGAGTTCAATAGCACTTCCACTTATGCATAAAGTTGTCTCCCACCAAAAAATTGAGGATATAAACGTATTTACCAGTGATATAGTATTGTCTAATGAAAGCAGAGCATAAGTGATATAAATTAAAATGGCAAAATAACGTCTTTTTAATCATTCAAAGAGAATGACCCCTCCATTATTCCTCAAATTGGTACGGTCCACAAGCTGCTCCAGCTGTCGCTGCTCTGAGGCTCTGGAGCTGGGAGCAAGCAGGAGGAGAGGAACAGCCAGTAAGTTAATCACCACCAAGCCCCCACAATGCGGGCCAAAAATCGAGGCAAACACGTTCCACCCTCATCCGCTGGGGGCTGGTGTCAGAAGCGAGCAAATCCTCATTGACTCCCATGTTAAAAATACCAATTTCACAGCAGAAATAAACATGTTTACAGCCTGGTACCAAAACATGTTTTTGGTTTAAATTATCTAGTTTACACTCATGACAACTCTGAGGGGGGTGAGTTTTTTTCTCACTCTTCTGTTTAAGTAGCCTGACAAGCCAGACTATATATGTGAATATATAGTCTGGCCACGACCCATTGAGGGCTTTCAGTCGTGGGGCGGGCTCTACGGTTGTCTTTCAAACTTTCTGCATGCAATTGGATAGCACTAGGACCAATCAGAATAACGAACAACGTGACGTAATCACAGCGACGGAAAAGCTCAGGGAGGCAGCAATGGCATCTAACATCAATGATTTCTGTCGTTTTTGTATGAAAAACATGCGAATATCAGGTGTACTGGGACATTGCACTACCTTGTTTGATAAAAATAAGAAGCCGCCAAGTATACCCGACAGACTTTTGCTCGTTGGATTGGAGATTAAAAAACGATCAGGGAAGTCTAACCGTGTCTGTAGGGGTTGTGTCTCTACGTTATCAGGAGTGGAAAAATATCTTCCACTGTATTGGAGATGGGTGGAAAACGAGAAGGACGATGAATCCTGTGCAAGAGAAAGCGCGACAAACTCCGAAAAAAGAAACCGAGAACCGTCTCCTCCTAAAACTCCAAGGGCACTGAAAAGGTTTTGCCACAAAGCTACAAGTCCAGGAATAAATAATGTGAGAAGGAGTATTAATGCGGTAAGTTTGCTAGGCTACCACTTCTCATATACAAGTATATATAGGTGATCTGAAACAGTACCGAACTACCTTAATTAATTTTATTAGTTAAAGAGCAAGTCACCCCCAAATAAACTTTTTTTGCTGATAAGCTAAATAAACGAGTGTCTAATCGTGCTGCAGACACGTGTCGTCAATAATTTGGCACTTCAGTGCATCTTAGTTAAAATTTAAATATTCTGCCTAAAACTGGCAGTGTTGTGCCGTTGTCAGGTAAAAACTCTGCACTGTATTTTAATTTAAATCTGCCACCGCTATTGGCTAAGAAGTATGCTATGATGTAAACTGGTACATTATGATGTCACAATGCTGTCGTGAGCCTGAGTGTGTGTGTATTTGTTAGCGGCTCCGCCCTCTCGGTCTGCCAGGCAACAGCATGTGTTGCATTTTTCAAACATGAAGCAGGAGTGGAGTTAGACTCTGGTAGGGGTTGACTTGCTCTTTAAGTTCATTATTGTCGTGATTGATGCTAGCAAGTTAGCCTTGAAATTTTGACTTTGCATAATGTGTCCTAGCTAATGTAATCTGTGAACTACAACAATATCATAAATCAGAGGGCTCCTATTACCCAGGCACGAGACCGCAGTGACAATGGAAGCCTCTACAATCTCTTAGTTGGCATATAATATATTAATGTGTATGCAGCCTCCATGCATATGCTTTATGTGCTGTTGTCTGCTTCACGTCATGAGAAATAGGTTACTTTGTGTTGTGTGTGCGTTTTCTGTGTAACATCGTGAGTGAGCTGGCCTTCCATAAATTCCAAATAATCTACATGACATTAACCGTGTGTGTGTGTGTGTGTGTGTGTGTGTGTGTGTGTGTGTGTGTGTGTGTGTGTGTGTGTGTGTGTGTGTGTGTTTGAAGAGGCTGTGATGTGTGAGTCATTCTATGAAGTGTGTCTAACCTTATTTTACTATCTTTCAGGCCATCACCAAGCAGAATGTGTGTGACACAGAGGAGTCTACGATAGTGGAACATATCACTAACAGGAAATGGGCAGCAGCGGCTAAGTTCATCATGAACCATAAAGACTTAACTCAAGAAGTAAAAAAAAACATACTTTCACTGCTTGAGAATGAGTGCAAGACAATTTGCAACCCCAACAACAATTTCATTTTGTGGAGGTCATCGCCAGAAGATCTGAAGTCCTTCTCATTTGACAAGCTTGAATCAGACCTACAGCGTCTGTCACCACTTCTGTTCTCTATCTTTGCTACCATCTGCAACAACTCCAGTCCTGTCATCTGTGCTGCTTCTGCTATCGCACTCAGAGGGCGACAACCCCGTCTGTCAGCATTTGCTCATTATTTGAACTGTGTTCTTCTGTATGGGGGTGCAAAGAAGGCTGTCTTTGACAGACTTAGCAAACTTGCAATAACAACTGCTCACACAAATGCAATAGGAAAGCAAAAGGAGTTGGCAAACACATGTGGAGACAGTCTTTTCCTGCTAAAGAGGCTGAACGAATCATTCTTGACTCTGGAGACTGAGCGCCATAGAAATGTTGGCCTCTGAGAGGACAAAAAGGCAATGAGTCCATCGCGCAAACCAGAACTTATCCCCACAGATGTCTTCTTGAGCACTGAAGAACTTCAGTTGTCAGGTATGGTCTAACATACACACACCCAGATGACTTCATTGATTCATGTGTGTACATTTCCTTTATGTCTCTGTATTTTTGGTGTGTCACAACAGAGGAGGAGTTGGAATGCAGTGAAGAAAAGGCCACTGAAGAAGAAAATATAATATCTGTGCTTCTGCCAGAGAGCCAGCCAACTCCACCAAACACATATTCCATAATCATGGATAACTTGGATTTTTTCATGCATGCACACCATCAGTCCACCCTCCACAGTAACAGATCCATTCACTGGATACACCACATTGCTGTACAGGATCGTATTCCAACACATCACCTGGCCAACGACATACCGCTTTTGGATCTTCAACAGTACAACCTCACTATGTCACTTCCAGGACATGAAACACAAACATATATGCGGAGAGAGTTTATTGTCATTGGTAGTAGAATTTTGACACAGTATCTGGCAGTTTTCAAATCTTTTCGCAATGTTGTGGTGCATCACATACCACATCAGTACTCGGAGGAAATGGCACAACCCTCAACGGATGTGAGATTGGAAACTAACATTGTATTAATTACTCTAACAACCAGTCACTATTATTGTATTAAAATTTCTAATTTGTGACCCCATTTTTAATTACAGCATCCCTTGGGATTGATTTTCAAAAATGAAAACAAAACCACTGACTTGTCTGAAGTACTACAAGAAATTCAGCACAAGTAAGTACGAGTGTTAGCAACATGAGTTTCTGTGTGTGCATGTATTTGTGCCAACCCTATTCTATTTCAGATCCCAAACTTATTGCAGTAAGAATGCCTGCTGTTATCATACAGAGAACCAACATAGAGATTGAGAAACTGTAACGGCAGAAATTATATTTATGTTACTATTCAAGTTATATAATTCTCTTTAGCTAAGATCGGTGTGCCTCAGATCATCACCTTTTCCTTCCACATTTACTTTTGAAGTTGTTATGATCCAGAAGAGCACCAGAGACACTACAGAAATTATAGTTTGAGGCAATCCCACCTATCTGAATCTATTTAGCTAAGCTTTTATGGCAGGCCACAACCTTCCTTCCTGCAGAAATTTACGCCTTTTACGAGTTTTGGCCAAAAAAGATGTTACAGATGTCATAGTCCCACTACTGTGTATATAAAACAAACTTGTTAAACAACTTTTTTGCTGTTAGTTTATAAGTACAGACACTTGGCTAATCCATGATTATTTATTTACTGGCTTAATAAAGTGATTATTAGTTTTGTTTAATGTTTTAGATTTATATGAAACTGTAAAAAACAAAACAATATACACAAGTGACAACTTTTAATTGTTCATATTTTAACATCTATAATCACAAGCTAATTTTTACATTTATGTTCTGCAGGGAGGGTAAATTGGGATTATTTTATTATTTGTTTGTAAACCTACTATCTCTGTAAACATTGCAGGTATGCTCCCAAAGGCCCTGATGGTGTGTCCAAAATACTGGTGGGAGGTGACAGGCTCACTGAGGCAAACTGTCGAAACATACAGTGTGCCTTTGCAGATGGAAACTCCAATGAAGAGAGGCTTGAAGGCATGGTGTTCAAGTTTGAGGACTGGCATGCCATTCGAGTGCTTTTTGAGGTTTAAGTGTTTTTTCAATTTTTTCTCTGTGCTGTTTTTAATGTAGCATTTCTTTAATGACTTTTAATTTTCCTTGGTCGTAGATACACTACAAGGTATTCTTCAGTGGCAAGTCTGGCAAGGACCATGGCACGCTGTGTGCCAACATGACAAAGTTAAGGTACGTCAACTGTTATGAATATATGTCGACATATTTATATTAGAGCAGCATAGCCTACTCAGCCAGCAAAACATGTTTTGCTGGCTATCAATGACTTCAACATTTTTTTAAATTTGTACCACTCTCTTCACAGTTGTGACAACGCACAAAAAGAAACACATTTGCTCCAATCATCGTCTTTTGTAATGTGTTTCAATAACAATTGCACCACTTTCCACTATAGAGTGACCCCCTGCAAATCGGGTCTATGAATTGACAAGTCTGGTATGGCTTTACGACTTTTGGGCGTGTGTGTGCATGCGTGCATGCGTGCATGCGTGCATGCTTGTTTTGGGTCTATGAATTGACCAGCATATTGTGTGTGTGTGTGTGTGTGTGTGTGTGTGTGTGTGCGTGTGCGTGTGCGTGCGTGTGTTTTCATGCATGTGTGCATACCCACTGTGCGTTAAGTGGGAAACAAAGATGGCCGTGTGCAGTAGAAGTATTAAAAGTAAATATGAATGTCACAGGTGCAGCAATGCCAAGCAGGGTCCCCGTGCTGACTACAATGCCTACAAGCACTTCTTCACCACTGACACAACTGCGCTTTTCCTAGCGGCTGCTGTGGATCTCTTTGGGTTAAAAGATGTTGACGGTAACTGCTGTTATCTAACAATATTTACCTATTTTGTGTAGCTTGTGGATCATCCTTTAAATGCAACTGAACATATGATTTCTCCTGTGTTATTTAGAAATACCAGATTCGTTTGTACCAGAGGAAATACAATCTGCTGCACCTGAGTTAAGGAGAGCCTGGTTACATGAAAGAACATCTGAGGTGGTGGACAAGTGCATCATGCTTGGGGATGTGCCACAGGCTGTTGCTGGTGTCACTGAATCCCCCCTGAGCTCTACTCATAAGAAACATTATCCCTGTAGAGCTCACGGTTGTCAACAAAGTTACACCTATCTCAAATCCCGAGACAACCATGAGCTTAAAAAGCATCACATACAGATGTCTTTGACAGAACTGCATGAACACACACCATCTTCCAACCGTGATCACAAACAAGAACACACCTTGGCGCGGCTTAGCTTTGGGTTCTTTCTCATGGACATGTTGGATGCTGTTAAAGAGGGTGATGGGGAGAGACTAATGAGGTTGTACAGGGTAGCCCTACTGTATTACAAAGCATACGGTCACAGCCATTATGCCTACAGTACCTTTCTACTGACGCTGCAGGTAAACGCATCTCTGACACCCCAGATGGCACACAGGGTAACCTGGAACAGGTTTTGGAGCACCCGGGGTGGGAAGGGTTGCAACATACCCCTTGATCTTCATCTGGAACACCTGAATAACTTCCTCAAGTCTTTCCTGAAGGGTCTGGGTCCAAATTTGTCTGAAGAAGCAGCACGTCGGGTCAGTCAGTGCATTGGTGTTTTTAGAGGAATGATGGACAAAGTAGATGAAGAGTTGGGTGTCAAAAGTCCAACTGGCACCCATCGTGCTGCACAGCAAGAAACTGATGTTTTAACACTGGTAGAGGTTTTCAAGGAGGAGCAGTTGTTTAAAGTTATTCATGGTAGACGGTTTCAGGCCTTCCCAGGCTTTGATCAAAATCTTCTGCGGATTAAACATAAAGATCTCTGGCAGTGGATGAACGGAAAACTGAAGGAGTGGAGAAATCGGAAAATATGAAGGGAACACTTTGAAACACTATAAGGTCTGTAGACACACTGTAAATGCTTTGTCTGTGTGTGTGCGTGTGTAGTGTATGTATGTATATATATTTTTTTACTATTTCATTACCTGTCCCGTGACTTACTTAAGCAAATGTTTTTGTCAGCATTTTGTTACTAGTGTTGAATTAAACACAAAGAAAATAAATGACTTTGAGATTTATTTACATGTAGCCATCTGAAAAGACACACAGTGACAAACATTAACAATATAGTTGTTTAAAACAGTAAAATAATGTTGTAGGGGGTTATAACAGTAAATCAGGAACAATATTTACACTAACAAAAAAAAGTTAAACAACCTGCATAAATGTCAGTTATTACACATTATGAAACATGTTTTGCCATTGATGGTCTGGTTAAAGGGCATAACTATTTAACAAACATTAATTACAACTTAATTTTTTTGAGAGTCAGTACTCAAAGCAGAAAGGCCAGATTCTAAACTGCTACATTGTGAGAGGACATTCCCCTCGGTGTCCTCATCAAAGTAACCCATGTAATTTGGGTCTGGGACCACAAAGTCTTCTGGAGGAAAATCTAATTCTGTGAATTTAAAATCTTCAAACACTTCAAATAATATCCTGAGTATTTCTTGGGCATGCCTTTTGCTGAACACTGGGAGATTGTTCATAATAAAGTTCAAGTCGAATATCTCTGCGCAGTGCTCCAGAACAGAGTTGATTAGCTCATCGCTAAAACCAGTACAATATGTGCTGTTTGTGTACAGATGAGTTTCAGGAATCAAGCTGAGCTTGTAAGTGTGTAACAGATTCCGAATCAGATCTTTTTCATCCTCCGTAACCTCTCTGATTTGGCCTGGTGCAGAAACCTCCAGTGGTGCCTGTTCATATTTAGGTACAGCCATGTCACAACCTGCTGAGGTACATGAACATACAGAGTGGCAGTATGTGCAGCACAAATGTCCTGGCACTACACTGTCAGTGTTGTTCTCAAATTGCGAGAATAGTGCCTTTCGAAAGCAACTTTTGCTGCTATTTTTTAGTAGCGTTCTAAGTCCCTCATCCACATTAGTGTTTAGACTGAGTCTGTAAATAACGGCATGTGACAGAGAACCATCTCTCCCGGCCCTACCAGCTTCCTGCAGAATGGCCTCCATATCCTCTGGTACACCATACATAACTACGTGAGATATTTTAGGAAAGTTTAGTCCCATTCCCAGAGCACTTGTTGCCACAACAACTCTGCAGGGACCATCTCCACCAAATGAATCCAGTATTCTGCGTTTGTTTTGAGGAAGGGTGTGACTATGAAACATCCCAATTCTTAAATTTTCTGCCCTGCGTTGTGGATCTTTATCAGCCCAACAGTCCTCACCAAGTTCTGCTTTCAGGTAACAGAACACCCTTCCAACAGCTGTCAGTGTTCGACAGTAAATGATTACTTGAAACATGTTGGTGTCATGCTCTTTCAGTTCTCTCACAATCCAGTCCAGGCAGTCAAAAGTATGGGAAGACACTTTGATAAGCCCAAGCCGAATATTTTTTCGGTTGGGGCTAACAGTGACTTGAGTAGCATCCTCAAAATGTAGCTGTTTTTGGATAATGGCTCGGAATCCAGGTCTGCTGTAGCCGTCAATGCCAAAATGGGTGTACCTGAAAGAAAAGGAAAATGCATTAACATCTGAATAATGTGTTTATACATTGCTACACTTTTTTGAACATATACGCATTTACTAATAAGTTAAGGATTGTGTGTTAGAAGTTAATGTATATATTGTCAGCTAAGATCTGAGTTTATTTTGAGCAAAGTGCCAATTTTCTCACACACATAAGTGGGATGACAGTTCTAACACATTATGGTGGTGCAGAGTAAGGAGGGGATGCTGTATGTGTGTGTGTGTGTGTTTTAAGGGATAAATGCAGCGACTTAAATACCACCATCACATAATCAATAATATAGATGCAGTATAGGATTTTATTGTATAATGTTGACCTACTCACCCCGTCTCACAATTGACCTCAGTTCACCCAACTTTGCAAAACACTCTCTGAAGGCCTTGTGTCCTTTATCAGCTTTTCCCCTGGGCAAAAAGTCAGCAAATTGTAAAGTCTAATTCCAACACCATTCAACTCTAAATATTAGGTTTTGTTTAATTTCAAAAATCTGAGTTTATAGTGAATATAACTTAACATCTGGTTGTAAACTTCATCATTCAGACATAATGTAATTGCTTAGAAATGTAGGTTATATGTAGCCTACATTATAGACCATCATTTGCTGAAGCAACATTATTTTTGGATGGCTTGCCAGGCTAGGTTATGTGTTGCTACTCACCATTTGTAAATCAGATGTACCTCATCCACAACGATCCCCAAGAGGTTATTTCTGAAGGTCTTTGTAGACAACATTTCTCTCCATTTACTCTGCATGAGCCAGGCTTCTGGACTACCAAATATCAACTGACAGTTGGCTTTTCGAATGTCCTTCAAAGCGTGTACGCCAAGTTGCATGGCAGTTAGTCCTAATTTACTCGCCTCTTTCACCTGGTCCTCCATAAGGGCGATCAACGGTGAGACTATAACCACAAGTGGGTTTTCACTGAGTCCCATTCGTTTAGCAACAACCGGAGCTAGCTGGTAAATTAAACTTTTACCGTATCCCGTCGGCAACGCAGCAAATACATCCTTTTGAAAAATGAAGGACTTTAGTGCCTCTATCTGTTCGTGTTTTAAAGAAAAGCCCAAGTCTAAATCGTCCAATGTTGCCGACAAAGCCGTTTCAAACGAACGTTGTTTCAGAGCTGCTGCCATGTTGTTTGTGTTCGTGGCATCGGTTCGCGGTCGCAGTTCTGACGTCTTCCGCTACACCGCTGATTAGAGTACTGTGATTGGCCCACAATATAAAGCGCTATGATTGGGCCGCAATATATAGCGCTGTGATTGGCCCACAACATATAGCGCTGTGATTGGTCCAACAACCACCAAAGACAGTTGTGATTGGCCAGCCAGTGTTCTGGTGGGAGCTGTGGAGGTTACAATGGAGCGTGTCTAGACCATACTTTGCAACGCAAGAATTTGGTCTAGTTCACTAGGCTACTGTTTAAGTGTAGTAAATGCCTAAAATTCTGTATAATTACTGAGCATCAGACCCACGTGACCGCAGAGCTAGCTCCGGAGAAAGGCCTCAGTCTGAGCCTTGGCCTCGCCTGAAAACTGTTCCGTCATTTTCAGTCTCTCAACGTAGACCATTAGTTGTGCCATTTGTGCGTTCTTTTTTTGGATATTATTTCTGCAATTGATGGACAAAATGACTTGCTGTGGTATTAATTGCACTAATAGAGCCTCCAAGAAGTCTCCACTTCATTTTTTTCGGTAAGTAAAATTATATTTATGTATTTTAGGTCACTGCCGAGCTGAGCTTACATTTTAACATGTACTGTTTAACCATGAAATTTAAATGTAATAGGGTAAAACCCAGTGCATTTAACATAATGCTGCACATAAGAAAATGGGTTGAAATGTTGGTGGAGCTGGGTTCCGACTATCGGCTTGTGGAGCTCTCGGGAGACCTCAGTGTTCGACCTGATTTTACCCAGCGGTCAGCCCGGCGTATCTCTGACTCAGAAGCTCTGGTGTTGTGCACAGTTAACTTCGGTTGTAGCTAGGTTGCTACCTCCGTTAGCTTAGCTCCCACCTCCGCGTTAGCTTTGGGTTAGCTTCAGGTTAGCTTGTAGCTAGTTCGACCGGGTGTCGTCAGTTGATCCCAGCCTTACAGCACCACCCTCAGCTCCACCTCTCTTCCCTTTTGTGGAATTGTTTGGGCTTGACGGAACCTGTGACACGGTCAAAATGGCGGTGGAGGCCACCTCCCATTTCTCCTCAAAAAGTTGTTATTGGAGTCTATGGAAATCCATAGTCCATATATGTATATGTCGATGATCACCACACCACTTATTGAAAAGGTATTTAAAAATATATTGTTCTCTGCTAAATTTAGTAAATTTTCCAATCAAAAGTCCCTGTTAAGGAGCTGCAGTTCGTCACCCAATATGAAGTCTCACATTTTGTTAAAACTTCTCCAAGTTGGCACACTAAGAAAATGCCGGGGGAAAAAATATCGAAGCTTTTGCGACATTTTGTTAAAGTAAAAGGAAACAGAGTAAAGTTGTGTCACAAAATGTGCAATTACCAGCAAATTAATAAAGCAACACTAGCAACGTGATGCGGCACCAACCTGTAAGCCAAAACATGACCCGTCTGTGCCTACTCCATTGACAATTATAGCCAAATTTCTATTTTACATAACAGCATTATTCATCCTAGTCTAAATATTATTTTTACTAGTCATCACTGAAACTAAAGGTATCAAAAACTATTTTATTACTAATATAAATTATTTTTAAGGACATGTTAACACTTGCATAACGGTTACGTATTGTAACCCCAGATTCTATGAGTACAGCGTAGACCTTAAAGCCATCACCTATTGGATTACTCCTCATCCCTTATCCAATCATTGAAGAGCCTTTGTGTACACATGCCTTCAGAGGTCCTGGCCCTATAAAAGTGTACAGCGAACATAGCTCATCTCCTGAGGGATGGAGTGACTGAGGTACTTTGGTAATGCCTTTTAAACGTGTCAAATTCTGATTTACCTAATTTATCAACAAGATTGATAAAAACAGGAATTACTTCCTGATCTAGTTAGTCTTCGCCATGCACTCGATAAGGCCAATCGGGTGAACAAGCATTTTGAGACCATCTTATCGTTTGACCTCAAGGTCAAAGCCTCTCTGAAACGCTTGCAAGTGATTTTAGACACAATGGCTCTTTTAAGAGCCACCAAACAGTCTTACACACAAAACAGACTCTCCAGCTGTCACCTGAAGATAACCCAGACTAGACGGGTCATACTCTGAGCTGGCTACTAGCTCCACCACCAGAGATCCACGCTATCAACAGCTATCGACCTCCTCACCCCCTGGATCGCTTGGGGATCTTCACGCAAGGG